ACGCTGCAACGAAAAAAAAGAGACTTGGAACGACAGGGAAAGACCCACAACGAAAACGCAGGAGTTCAAACAAAAAGGAAGGAGAAGCAATTAAGAGGAAGGACTTATTAAAAGAGGAGGACAACGCTGCAACGAAAAAAAGAAAGAGACTTGGAACGACAGGGAAAGACCCACAACGAAAACGCACGAGTTCAAACAAAAAGGAAGGAGAAGCAATTAAGAGGAAGGACTTATTAAAAGAGGAGGACAAGGCTGCAACGAAAAAATTACTTTACTTCGTGTGATCCCCACCATGACATTTATACATTTTCTTACTGGCAAATCTTCTGGCATTCTATCTGACATATCTTCTGACATTCTATTTGGCATTCTATCTGGCATATCTTCTGGCATATGATCTGGCATATCTTCTGGCATATCTTCTGGCATTCTATCTGGCAAATCTTCTGCCATTCTATCTGGCATATCTTCTGGCACTCTATCTGACATATCTTCTGGCATTCAATCTGGCATTCTATCTGGCATATCTTCTGGCATATATTCTGACATATCTTTTGGCATTCTATCTGACATATCTTCTGGCATATATTCTGACATATCTTCTGGCATATCTTCTGGCATATCTTCTGGCATATCTTCTGGCATATGATCTGGCATATCTTCTGGCATATCTTCTGGCATTCTATCTGGCAAATCTTCTGGCATTCTATCTGGCATTCTATCTGGCATATCTTCTGGCATATTATCTGGCATTCTAACTGGCATATCTTCTGTCATATATTCTGACATATCTTCTGGCATTCTATCTGGCATTCTATCTGGCATTCTATTTGGCATTCTATCTGGCATATCTTCTGGCATATCTTCTGACATTCTTTCTGACATTCTTTCTAACTTCCTTCTGCACATTCTTTGTCCCATATCTTCCTACATGAGGTCCGGCAGGGAACACTTGGCGTGGATACTCGCGGTTGAGGTCCGGCAGGGAACACTGGCCGTGGATGGTCGTGGTTGAGGTCCGGCAGGGAACACTGGGCGTGGATGGTCGTGGTTGAGGTCCGGCAGGGAACACTGGGCGTGGATGGTCGTGGTTGAGGTCCGACAGAGAACACTGTGGATCGCGGGTCGCAGTTGGACGAGGAGGACGACGAGGAGGACGACGAGGAGGACGACAAGGACGACAAGGATGACAAGGAGGACGAGGAGGACGAGGAGGAGAGGAGGAGGAGGACGAGGCAGGAGGAGGCAACTGACATAAAATCTAACAACCCTCACCTGGCAGGTGGGGAAAAAAGAGACTTGGAACGACAGGGAAAGACCCACAACGAAAACGCAGGAGTTCAAACAAAAAGGAAGGAGAAGCAATTAAGAGGAAGGACTTATTAAAAGAGGAGGACAACGCTGCAACGAAAAAAAAGAGACTCGGAACGACAGGGAAAGACCCACAATGAAAACGCACGAGTTCCAATGAAATGGAAGGAGAGGCAATTAAGAGGAAGGACTTATTAAAAGAGGAGGACAACGCTGCAACGAAAAAAAGAGACTTGGAACGACAGGGAAAGACCCACAACGTTAACGGAAAATTCCCAATATTCTCCGCCCAAGAGAGGATGAATGGTGAAAAATATAGTTTCACTCACACCTGCAGCCACTTGCAGCCACTTGCAGCCACTCGAGTGGTCGCCAGTGGCCGCCAGTGGCCGCCATCATTCTCTTCTCATCGGCAGCCACTTGCACCCACTTGCGGCCAATCGAGTGGCCGCCAGTGGCCACCAGCATTTTCTTCTCATCGGCAGCCACTTGCAGCCACTTGCAGCCAGTCGAGTGGCCGCCAGTGTCCGCCAGCATTCTCTTCTCAGCGGCAGCCACTTGCAGCCACTTGCAGCCAATCGAGTGGCCGCACGTGGCCACCAGCATTCTCTTCTCAAGCCACTTGCAGCCACTTGCAGCCAATCGAGTGGCCGCCAGTGTCCGCCAGCATTCTCTTCTCAGCGGCAGCCACTTGCAGCCACTTGCAGCCACTCGAGTGGCCGCCAGTGGCCACCAGCATTTGGTTTTTCATCGGCAGCCACTTGCAGCCACTCGAGTGGCCGCCAGTGGCCGCCCGCATTCTCTTTTCATCGGCAACCACTTGCAGCCACTTGCAGCCAATCGAGTGGCCGCAAGTGGCCGCCAGAGCAAGTGGCCGCAAGTGGCCGCAAGTGGCCGCCAGAGCAAGTGGCCGCAAGTAGTGGCCGCCAGAGCAAGTGGCCGCCAGAGCAAGTGGCCGCAAGTGGCCGCAAGTGGCCGCCTTTGCCAAAATCAAATTCGTGCCCTTCTGCACGCTCTCTGGGAAATCTACTTAAAGGAATATTATCTCTATATATATATATAAACATATTAGCGAACTGTCATTCAGTGATACAAGTGGTGAACGTGAAATCAATCAAGAAGAATACATCAAACAAAAAATCTTAAGCTGTAAATGTAGTGAATATGCAACAATAAAATGAATTCTCAAAAATAATTTTACCGATGGTATTGGTAATAAAATTTGTGAATATGTAGCCTGTAAAAATTGCTCAAATATAATGAGTCATTTTGATTCAATTGAAATTGATATTAACCCTTGTGACGATGATGATATTGATGAACCAATTCAAATATACGTTTATAATACTTTAGTTAATGAATTTCCAGATGATAAAATGAATTTAAAATTAAATGAAAAAGAAATATCCCCACCCCCTTAACCCCCTGTTGACCCGGGGGGGGGCCAAAAAATGTAACTTACATTTTTGTAGGGGGAGGGGGGGGTAAAAAAATGTAAGTTGTACCCCCCCCGCGTGGGTCCAAAACATTGTTTTTCGGGGGGGGGGTGGGGGGCCAGAAATGTAAGTTGGACACGCGCCGCGTGGACAACATACATTTTTAGACCCCCCCCTCCCCATTCAAAATAAATGTAAGTTAGCACGCGCCGCGTACCATGTTACATTTTTTGCCCCCCCCCCCTACCCCCTATCTATCCTCTGGTTTCCCAAGATAATTGAGGGTTCCAGAAATGTAATATTACAATAAGTTGGACTAGTTAGCCTTAAAAATGTAAGTTAAATTGATGGGCGTTCCAAGAAAAATAAATGTAATATGATTTTTTTTTGGCAACCCCAAAAAATGTAACTTACATTTTTTCGTGTACCAACCCGCATAAATGTAAGTTACAATTTTTTGCCCCCTCCCCCCCTAAGGGGGTAGGGATAAAGAAATGATACATTACCAAGATTATGGACAAGGATTGAAAAAATGTTATAACAAGTCATATTCTACTGTTGCATTCTGCATGTTAGAAACGAATATTAATGATGCTGATTGTATGGATGATAACTTTAATCATGAAACCTTTATAGATTGTTTAAGAAACATATTGTTGTATATCAAAGACAATGAACCGTCTATTGGACATACTATTATTGACGAGAATAAGTTTGACAACGTGTATGAAAGAATACAACAAGGAATTTATATTTGAACCCCATAAATTTTCATATCAGGTAATATGAAATTTTATGATATAAGGAAATACGCTTAAAATGAAAAGGATATTACCTTATAATAATATGGAGAGTAGAAAGTGCACAAAGTGTAAGACAAACAAAAATGGTGACGAGTTCAATGGAATGAATAGAATGTGTATTGAATGCTTGGACAAACAAAAGGAGAGTAACAAAGTACATAATCAAAAGGAAGTATTCTGCGACGTTTGCCAACGGAATGTGAAACAATGCAGGTTGTCCAAACATCTTACAACCGACAGGCATTCCAACAAGGAAAACTCAAAAAGGAAGAAGGGGAAAAACACAAAGAGATGGAGGAATACTTAAAAGATGATGAAACCAGAATTGCAAAATTGAAACAAATCTGGAAAACCATTCCCATTACACCAAAAAAAATTAAACGATTTTACCCCATATTTTTTCATATCATAATATATGAAAATTTATGATAGGGACATAGGAATGTTAGACATGAATGATTTCGATTTATAATAGGATTTTTATAATAATATATTATGATAAAATATTATGATGGAATTTTATGATTAATTTTTATGATATGAATTTATGTGATGATGGATGATGAAGAAATGATGTGGGATGATGATGTATGAAATTATATATGTGGTTTTATTTTGTGTTGATACTGTGATGAAATGATATGAAATGTTGTGAAAATGAACTGTGGTAATGATGAAATGATAGAGGTGGATGATATGAACTTAGGTGTGTTTGTGTCTAGCTATATATATATATAACTTCTATAATAACATATATATATATATGAAAACATTGGAACTATAACCAAATATCTCATTCCTTTCGCCATGATGATCCGCAGAAACCCACAGAGCGAACCCCTTTAACACAAATGACTAATGACTTCTTTCTCACAACCCTTTAACACAGATGTTTGCCTATTTGCCTAAGATTCCATTCAACCCATAAGAATAAATGCCCCAGTGCCTGGATGAATAAAGGAAGGAACCCTAAATTAGCATAAAACCTCACTTGGGATACTGCCCAGACCTAAGAAAAATTAGGTCTGGGTAATATTGCTTACAATCCAATGGCTTTCCAGCCACTCAGCCACTCAGTCACTCAGAGTGGCTGAGTGGCTGAGTGGCTGAGTGGCTGAGTGGCTGAGTGGCTGCGTCAGCCGCTCTGCCAGAGTGGCTGAGTGGCTGAGTGGCTGTTTCGATTTCGCGAGCCGTGTTGCACATCCACTCCTTTGTTTGACAATCATTCTTGTGCTATCTGAATATGGTCTCTAGAGTGTGGAGGTGCATTCTGTCCCTTCACTTTTGCCAAGAGTTTATATAGCTCTGTACAAAAACATCAAAGAAACCAAATCAGATCCTGCGATCGACAAGGGCTGCTTTCAGGGCCCTTCAGCGACGAAGTTGGACACTGCTAGATTTGGATTCAATGTATTCTGAACAAGACCCGTGTGGATGCAGTGTTGAGCAGGCTGACATCGATCTGGGACAGATTCAAGTGGAGGCTGCTTCAACCCAACCTTTCAACTTTGAAGGTTTATTAAATGACAAGAAGCACCCAACCTGATACCACAAGGTTGCTTGTTGGAGCTCCATCGCAGCAACGGCCATGGAACAGTCTTGAGATGTCTTGAGACTCTTGATGTTTTGCAAGATTTTTGCAAGCGTGCGATTTACGACGTTTGAAGCATGTGAGAGGCGCAGCGGGATGGCGCCAGAGCTGGGGGTGAGTCTTCTGATGTGCCCGAGGCGCATCGAACCAAGACAGTTTTGAATGATCTCTGCTTTGAGGAACACTTGCAGCCAAAACCCTAAGCGGACTTCCATCTTGTGCTGAACACTTGCCCGCTTTTCAAATATTCAATAGTCAGGGTTTCAAGAGACGGCCCATTCTTCAAAATCTTCAAAATCACAAGTTCCATTGAGCTCGTTTTTCACCCAATAAAACTCTGATGTTCGTGAGCTCTGCACTTGACAGCTGGTGTTGGGCGAAGCAAAGTGGACATGTTTGACGCGCGTCTTCCAGTGTCTTTATTGTGGGAAGCTCTTGTACTGATTCAAAGGAGGGGATACAATACCGTATTACCATGACCAGTAAGACAAAGTAAGATGCATGGACAAGCAATTAGCACGTTTCTAGAAGCGAGCTCGATGCCTCAGGCCGGCCTCGGGGACTACTTCCTCAAGGACTACAAGGGAGGCGGTGTCTTTGAGCACGAGGCCTACGAGCCCTATGCCCCGGAATGGTGCTGGATCCACAAGAGCTCTGGCATCAAGGCACGCGACCGTCGCCATTAGACCCGTTTCGTCACGCCACGTTGTGACGCAGCAGACTCAGTGCAACCCCAGCAGCAGCTCCTGGCAGGTGTGGCAGGATGCCCTGGACCTGACTCAGTCCAGTGGAAGTGGCGAAGTCGAGTGCTTCTTTCATTACACGACCCAGTTGGGGTTCCGAAACATTACGGCTCCACAGAAGAAAGCCGTTGAAGTCTTCGTGCTGCACTCAGTTGCCAATCATCATGTCATGTGATGTCATGTGTTTTTGTGCCCGCTCACCTTGCCGATGGCCACGGCCTTGAGCATCCAAAGGCCTCTTTGCTCACCAGCGGTCCGAAGGCCAATGCGTGGTGGGGACAAGGCAAGGTCATTCATCAAAGCTGACAAACCGTGAGCATTTGCAGACCTTTCTGTCCACTGCAAACAACTCTGACGAGGCGTTTACAGTGTCAGAAGGGCGCCGGATGAATGGCCAGACGTGGCCACGCTGATTGACAATAACTATCGGAATATGCATAAGAGGGACGTTGAATCGAAAGGCCGTGAGGCCGCGGACGAGGAGAGTGTGCCTTTCTTAGGTGCCGCATTTCTTGTCCACATTTTTGGTTCAATTTTTGGATGTGCACATGGTCAGTACCAGTATTTGCAGATTAACAGACCTAGATCCAGTCATGCAGGAGTACGCTTCCCGTGTGGCTTACTGTATTCCACTCTTGGCAAACTCTGCCATATGCTACGATGTTTCGGTTCAACAGACGCCGGAGATGCAGAAGGAGGCTGGTAGCATGCTTTGCCCGATCTTGTGTGGACATTTTCTGCAGCATTTGGCTTGTGACTCATCTTTGCTCTGCGGGGCCAGGGCAAGCCTCCCGGCGTGCCAGGGGCCCAGTCCCTGAGTGCTTCGAAATCTGTTGAACACGCCATTTAGACGTTGCTTTTAAGCCCTGTGGCGCAGGAATCTGGCAGACAAGTTGCTGAATGAACCTGGTCAGCCAGAGAGGCAGTGCGTGGTGATCAGGGTGGAAACAGAGGACGAAGTGGGCCACGCCAGCGCAGTGCTGCTGGACACGAAGCCTGGCTGCTTTCAGGGGCTTGGAGCTTGGGTCTTGAGTCAGCTTGCCATCCAGGGTTATGGCTGTTCAATCCAGGTTTTTGTTCCTTTGAGCTTGCCATATCCAGGAGTTAGGATTCGTCCAGTAGAATTAAAGCAGGTGGGGCGAGTTCAAACTTCTATTGGAAAATGATCCAGAGGGCTGACAAGTTTTTGGCTTTTGATGAATTCTCAAGTTCGAGCTGCACACTGGCCCCTTCGAGCGATTTGGACCAGAACCAGCATGATTTCAAACGTTTCAAGTGTTTTTGATGCAGCCCTGCGACTGTTTCAGCTGCTCTCTTGCTCTCATTGTGCCTTTCCTTCTCCCGGGATCACTGGTCATGTCGCGCCCTGGCAAGTTTACGGAACCTCTCCTGTGGGTTAAAGTATAATGGTCGTGGCAGGATACAGGATACCAAATAGAAAGCGTAAAGCTTCAGCTCTGTTTGGCATTCCACATCTGGAAAGGTACACCACAACATAAAACCATCGTTTTGTCCTGGCTCGGGCCTTGTTCTGCACTTGAAAGTATCAGGGAGTAAAGGCATGGAGCAGAATCGCTTGATGTTTGATCTTGCCACCTGAACATTCACTTTAAGATGTGGAGGAGGCGTGGCTAAGGATCTGGAACTTTGAAGCTCTCTCAGGAGTGCACGCACGACACTTCCTTTGAGATTTCTTGAGTACGGCCCACTTCGAGTTTTATAGTATCTATCGGCTATATTCGTCTATGCCATGTCTATTGACTATGCTATGAGTTGACTTGAATTACCCGCTCCATTTAGGACAAACGTCTGCCAATTTCGGAAAACCTGCCCCCCCGCCCTCACGCGTAAAAACATATGGTTGAAGATCCCGCAAAGCAGGGACCATGCAGCCCAGTAGCCAGCTTCTGACTGAAGCCGGGAGCCGTCCCACACCTTGACGATTTTGCGTACCGTTGGCCATTCTCTTGAACTTGATTTGTCTTCCATGTTGGTGACATGGTCGACCACCGCATTGCCATGTGATAGGCACAGCCATGTGATAGGCATCATCATGGACCAAGGCTGCGGTGCCGTGCAGATGCCACAGCCAGAAGATTGGGCCCTGAGCACCGTTTGGCGCTTTTGGCACTGCATCGGTGCGGACCTCAGTCCCTCCAAAGAGACGAACACATTAGCAAACATGTATTGTTGAGTCAAGAACTGTATTGTCTTGTCACCAGAGATTTGCATCCAGAGATGTTAGAGAGCTGCAAAGTGAAAGCTGTAGATTGCAGTAGGCAACAGTATTTACAACAAGCATCAAATAGTATCAATAAGTATAGCCTATAGCAACTGCTCAAGTGAAATCAAAATAATTCGAATCCCAGAATCTCGTTTTCTCACCAGAGATTTGGATCCAAAAATATGCCACGAAACCACAAATAGTAAAAACAGTGCCCTCTTCTCCTCCACGAAGCCGTGGGAACTTTTCGGCTCCCGTGGCGATCCATGGCCGAGGCTCGCGTACGTGCTGGTGGCCCGCGGCGCCTTCGCGGAGGCCGAGCCGCTGCGGCGCCGATTCCTGGAGGCCCGGGAGCGGCAGCTGGGCCCCGAGCACCGCGAGACGCTCATCGCGGTGAACAACTTGGCGTCGGTGCTGCGGTGCCTGGGGAAGTTCAGCGAGGCGCCGCTGATGTGCTGTGCTGCAGTCACCGTGGCGGGTGGATGGTGCCGCATTTTGTGTTGGGAAAAGTTGAGAAAAATGCAGGGAAACAATCAACGCATTTTCAGATAATCTCAAAATTTTGTCATCTATATAAGTGCGATGATGCATGAAAAATGAACATGTCAATTTTACGCAAATCATCTCAAATCATCTCAAATCACGTCATGTATGGCCAAAACATGGACATGTCAAAGTTTAGCAAAAGATGTTTGCAAAGAACAGATGCCGCGTTGCAAGTTTCAGTCTGAGATGTCTGTCAAAGCGTTTTTGCAAAACATCACAGAACAGATGCACCCTGAGGTTGGAGTTTATTTGCAAACGGAAGATTGGAACGACGATGACGCACATCCAAATCATGTTGAAATGTCAACTCGTCGAACTTTGCGTTTTATTCTTCAAGTTTTGAATTAAGTGTGCATTTTACATGGTACAATTGTACTTGACATCTTTTTCATCAGTCCAAACTCAAGGCCGTTGCCCACCTTTCTTCCCTTTCCACACGGTACTCGCAGGCGGATCCTGGCCTGGGGCCCCACACCACCGGTGCCATCCCGAGACGCCAGGCGGAGGCCCTGCACCGCCGAGCTCTTGCAGGGTGGGAAGCGCACCTCGGTGCGAATCACCCGGACACGCTCACCTCCATGATCAGCCTTGCAGCGCTTCTGCGGGAGCGGGGAAAGCTGGCTGAGGCGGGGCTGAGGTCTTTCGTGAAGAGAGGTGGTGACCTTCCTGGAGGAAGTTTTTCAGGGGCATATTTTTTTCTGTGGCCAAGGCCTGAGGCCTGGATTCTTTCTTTTCGATTTCCCAATATTGGTTGGATTGCTTTCTTGGGCGTAATACATTGTTGGGACCTCCATCCACATTTCATAGTTGTAATTGGCAAAATGAAAATATGGCAAAACTGTCAAATCTTTCGGGTGAATTCCTGCAAATGAATGCAAATGAGGCCTATAGCATATATAGGCGCATGCTGAATGAAAGTATGGCATCTCCGGCATCTCTGAGATGCCAGGCGGAGGCCCTCAACCGCCGAGCTCTTGCAGGGCGCGAAGCGCACCTCGGTGCGAATCACCCGGACACGCTCACCTCCATGATCAGCCTTGCAGCGCTTCTGCGGGAGCGGGGAAAGCTGGCTGAGGCGGGGCTGAGGTCTTTCGTGAAGAGAGGTGGTGACCTTCCTGGAGGAAGTTTTTCAGGGGCATATTTTTTTTGGTGGCCAAGGCCTGAGGCCTGGATTCTTTCTTCTCGATTTCCCAATATTGGTTGGATTGCTTTCTTGGGCGTAATACATTGTTGGGACCTCCATCCACATTTCATAGTTGTAATTGGCAAAATGAAAATATGGCAAAATTGTCAAATCTTTCGGGTGAATTCCTGCAAATGAATGCAAATGAAGCCTATAGCCTATAGCATATATAGGCGCATTCTGAATGAAAGTATGGCATCTCCGGCATCTCTGAGATGCCAGGCGGAGGCCCTCAACCGCCGAACTCTTGCAGGGCACGAAGCGCACCTCGGTGCGAATCACCCAGGGACGCTCAACTCCATGGACAGCCTGGCGCTGCTCCTGCGGGAGCGGGGAAAGCTGGCTGAGGCGGGGCTGAGGTCTTTGGGGTGAGAGGTGACCTTCCTGGAGGACGTTTTTCAGGGGCATATTTTTTGTTGTGGCCAAGGCCTGAGGCCTGGATTTTTTCTTGTCAATTTCCCAATATTGCTGGATTACCTTTTTTGGGCGTAATACATCGTTGGGACCTTCATCCACATTTCATAGTTGTAATTGGCAAAATGAAAATATGGCAAAGCTGTCAAATCTTTTGGGTGAATTCCTGCAAATGAATGCAAATGAGGCCTATAGCATATATAGGCGCATGCTGAATGAAAGTATGGCATCTCCGGCATCTCTGAGATGCCAGGCGGAGGCCCTCAACCGCCGAGCTCTTGCAGGGCACGAAGCGCACCTCGGTGCGAATCACCCACGGACGCTCACCTCCATGAACATCCTGGCGCTGCTTCTGCGGCAGCAGGGGAAGCTGGCTGAGGCCGGGCGGGGGTCTTTGGGGTGAGAGGTGGCCTTTCTGTATGTTTCACTAGGGCATTAGGCCCAATGTTTTTCTCTTTTTGCAACTGTTGGATTAATATGGATTATTCTCATCGTTCGGGCGAACTACTAATGCAAATTAGTTAAATCCATGCCACATGAAATTAGTACTACGAAACTGTTAATTTCATAGTCGAAATTGACAACCCTACAAGTCCGAGCGAATGTAATATACGCATGTATCAAATTAATGAAATGCAAATTCTCGGCAATCCTCATCCAAAAAGCTGTTCCCAATCATTTCCTGGTTGAAATTGGCAACCCACCAAAACTACGGAATTGAGATTGATATGTGAGTTTGCATACCGCAATGAATACAGGGCGTGCTTGACAAGCACCTTTTTCTTTAAGTCCAAACACTGTGGAGGACATTGTGCGCCTTTTCCCCCTTTCCTGGCCGTGAGGCTTTGGATTTTATGCCCACGCCACCTGTCGGATCTCGGGCCGCCAGGCGGAGGAGCTGCAGCGCAAAGCCCTCGCGGGGCGAGAAACACAACTCGGTGCCGACCATCCCGAGACGCTGACGTCGATCAGTCACCTTGCTGTTGTCCTGCAGCAGAAGGGAAAGCTAGATGAGGCCGGGCTGAGGTCTTTGGGTTGAAGAGAGGTGGTCTTCCTTGAGCCAGAGGGAAAGGCTTGGATGTTGCCTTGTTTCCCATTATTCTTGGATAGTAATTTTCGGGTGATTTATTGCCCATGAAACGGTGTGACAAATGATTCATTTATGCATTCATTTATCATTTGTTGAAGTGATTTTTGTTTATATTATACTTATTTGCTTTTGTTTCCCACACCTCCTGACCATGTGCCCGCCTTCAGCAAAAACTCATGAAGTATAGTCACCCTTCAGCCCTTCAAGAGAGTTCGCCACGTCACGTCTGAAGACTTTTCAAGATTCACCATAGCAGAAGGGAACTGCATGGCTTGTGAAGTCACGCTGGAGAACCGACAGCATAGTGATGCCAACCCAAGTAAATGAAGACCAATGAAGTAATTAGATGTTTTTATTTGCAGGGTGCCCTCTGCATGAGGCCTGGATTTTTTTTTGTTTCCCGGTATTGTTGGATGATTTTTGGGCGAACACTTTCAGTTGAAACTGACAATCCAAAAATTCGGGCAAGTTAATGAAATGCAAATGAAAAGGCGCATCTCGATGCATCTCGGCGATCCTCATCCAAGAAGCTGTTCCCAATCATTCCCTGGTTGAAATTGGCAACCCACCAAAACTACGGAATTGAGATTGATATGTGAGTTTGCGCACCGCAATGAATACAGGGCGTGCTTGACAAGCACCTTTTTCTTTAAGTCCAAACACTGTGGAGGACATTGTGCGCCTTTTCCCCCTTTCCAGGCCGTGAGGCTTTGGATTATATGCCCACGCCACCTGTCGGATCTCGGGCCGCCAGGCGGAGGAGCTGCAGCGCACAGCCCTCGCGGGGCGAGAAACACAACTCGGTGCCGACCATCCCAAGACGCTTGAGTCGATCAGTCACCTTGCTGTTGTCCTGGAAGAGCAGGGAAAGCTAGATGAGGCCGGGCTGAGGTCTTTGGGTTGAAGAGAGGTGGTCTTCCTTGAGCCAGAGGGAAAGGCTTGGATGTTGCCTTGTTTCCCGGTGTGACAAATGATTCATTTATGCATTCATTTATCATTTGTTGAAGTGATTTTTGTTTATATTATACTTATTTGCTTTTGTTTCCCACACCTCCTGACCATGTGCCCGCCTTCAGCAAAAACTCATGAAGTATAGTCACCCTTCAGCCCTTCAAGAGAGTTCGCCACGTCACGTCTGAAGACTTTTCAAGATTCACCATAGCAGAAGGGAACCGCATGGCTTGTGAAGTCACGCTGGAGAACCGACAGCATAGTGATGCCAACCCAAGTAAATGAAGACCAATGAAGTAATTAGATGTTTTTATTTGCAGGGTGCCCTCTGCATGAGGCCTGGATTTTTTTTTGTTTCCCGGTATTGTTGGATGATTTTTGGGCGAACTAGTGAACATTTATTCACGCGAATGAAAGTAGGACATGGCTGGACCCCCATTCGCAAAATTGTTACTTTCAGTTGAAACTGACAACCCAAAAATTCGGGCAAATTAATGAAATGCAAATGAAGGGGCGCATCTCGATGCATCTCGGCGATCCTCATCCAAGAAGCTGTTCCCAATCATTTCCTGGTTGACATTGGCAACCCACCAAAACTACGGAATTGAGATTGATATGTGAATTTGCGTACCGCAATGAATACAGGGCGTGTTTGACAGGCACCTTTTTCTTTAAGTCCAAGAACTGTGGAGGACATTTCTTAAATCAGTTGCAGGACGTGAGACTTTGGATTATATGCCCACGCCACCTGTCGGAACTTGGGCCGCCAGGCGGAGGAGCTGCAGCGCAAAGCCCTCGCGGGGCGAGAAACACAACTCGGTGCCGACCATCCCGAGACGCTGCAGTCGATCAGTCACCTTGCTGTTGTCCTGGAAAAGCTGGGAAAGCTAGATGAGGCCGGGCTGAGGTCTTTGGGTTGAAGAGAGGTGGTTTTTTGTGAGCCAGAGGGAAAGGCTTGGATGTTGTCTTGTTTCCCACTATTCTTGGATAGTAATTTTCGGGTGATTTATTGCCCATGAAACGATGTGACAAGTGATTCATTTCTGCATTTATTTATCATCGCTGAAGGGTTTTTTGTCTATATAATATTTATTTGTTTTTGTTTCCCACACCTCCTGACCATGTGCCGGCCTTCAGCAAAAACTCATGAAGTATAGTCACCCTTTATCACACTCGCAAAAGAGTTCATCAAACCTGAACTATACCAGAAAGGAACTGCGTGGCTTATGAAGTCACCAACAGGATAGTGTTGCCAACCCAATTCAATGAAGACCAATGAAATGTAGTTGTTTTTCAAGGTGCCCTCTACAATAGATCCTTGATTAATATTGGGCTTCCAAAACATCTCATGTGGATCCGGGGCCAGTTTTGATCGATTTGCTTCGCGTTTCAGATGCTATATATATATATAGACAGACTAGCGACATCTAGCGATTGCCCAGGCACCCAGATTGCAAGAGGGATCTTGTCATTACATATGGCAAGAACGACTAGAAATCACACATCGAGCGCTCATGTGAGATATGTGAGGAACCTACGAAAGTCCAAATCATTCCAAATCTATGAACGTGATTCGACATGTCAAAGTGGTTTGGGGAAAGTCTTCAAAACATTGGACAAGACATGGGTGACCCAAAAAGGGTGCCAACAGGTACAGGCCCACCGTCCCCAATGACATTTGAAGTTTTTAGGCTTGGTTTGAGTTGATGGATTTCGGATGACAGTACAGGCACTTGATTGACTGTGACAATAGCACCAGTTCAACTGAACCTGTGAGTAGAGTATTCCTTAGAAAATACGTTATATGTATATAAATAA